AAAGAAATATAAAGGTTGAGAGAGAATATTATGAACAATGATATGCAAACAAACTGGACAAAATAGATGAATTTCTCAAAATGTCTAATCTTCCCAAACTAACTCAGGAAGAATCAGAGAATCTTAATAGACAGATTATACCTAATGGAATTGAAGCAGTAATCAAAAAAAAAAAAACAACCATCAAACAAAAGCCCTGGGCTGGATGGCTTCGCAGATGAATTCCACCAAACATTCTGAGAACTAACACTTCTTCTCAAACTACACAAAATTCAAGGGGAGAAATGGCTCCCAAATTTGTTTTACAAGGCCAGGTTTATCCTAATTCCAAAACCACATACAGACACTGCAAAGAAAGAAAATTAAATGCCAATATCCCTGATGAACATAGATGCTAAAATCCTCAAATATGCAGAGGTATAAACAGCTATTTCATTTAAGGGTCAGGTAGTATATAGTCAGTGATATTGTAATAACTATGTATGGTGCCAGGTGGGTACTGGATATATTGGGGGGACACTTTGTAAAATATATGATTATCTAACCACTATGCTGTACAACTGAATCAAATACAAAATAATATTGAATATAAACTATAATTTTTTTAAAGAAGGATCAGTTAGGTTTTGTAGAGTATAATGTAGGAGGAGGAGATGATGGGAGTTTATATAATTGTTACCTTGAATTACACAAGCTGGGAAGACCTTAGAACAATGATTTTTGACTGGTGTGATGCAAGAAACTTTAAAACATGCAATATATGACTATTTAGTCAGGGGCACTGACTTATTTTCCCTTAGATTTTAAAATTAAAAAAGACAACAGCAACACACAATTTCCATCTGGTGCGAATGAATGAAAATTATATCTATTTTGTTGTCAGATTGGCAAAAAAATATTTTTTTGGTGTGCTGCAGAATTTTAGTTATTGCTTTATGTGTGCCATGAGATGAAAAAGGCTGAAAATACCTGCCTTAGAGTATTAGATCTTCAAGTGAAAGAAGCAAATACTTTTTGTGTGTTTTATTTTGTTTGTACTTTTAATGTCTTTTTAATTTAATCTTTATTGTAATTTTCCATTACCATTTAGTCCCATTATACCTCCCCACCCTAGCAATCACCACACTGTTGTCCTTGTCCATGAGTCCTATTTCCTTTATGCTCAACCCTTTAACCCCCAGTTTTCATCCTGCTCTTTATGAGTCTGTCACTATTTCCCTTGTTAGTTTAGTTTGTTCATTAGATTCCACATATGAGAGAAATCATATGGTGTTTGTCTTTCTCTAGCTGGCTTATTTCACTTAGCATAATGTTCCCCAAGTCCATCTACTGTTGCAAAGGGTAAATTTTTCTTCCTTTTTACTGCCAAGTAGTATTCCATTGTGTAAATGTCCTATACTTGTTTTATCCACTCATCTACTGATGGAATCATGGGCTGCTTCCATATCTTGGTGATTATAAACAATGCTACAATGAACATAGGGGTGCTTATGTTTTTTTGAATTAGTGTTTTGGGTTCCTCAGGTATATTCTCAGAAATAGGATAGCTGGATCAAAAGGCAGGTCCATTTTTAAGGTATCTCCATAGTATTTTCCACAATGACTGTACCAGTCTGCATTCCCAGCAACAGTGCAAAAGGGTTCCCCTTTCTCCACATCCTCTTCAGCACTTGTTGATTTATTGATGATAAACATTCTGATAGGTGTCTGATGATATCTCATTCAGATGATATCTCATCTGAATTTGCATGTCTCTGGTGACATTGAGCATCTTTTCATATGTCTATTGGCCATCTGTATGTCCTCTTTGGAAGGAGTGTCTATTGATGACCTTTGCCCATTTTGTGATTAGATAGTTTGTTTTTTTGATGATGAGTTTTGTGAGTTCTTTATACATTTTGCATATTAACCCCTTAATCAGATGTATCATCGAATATGTTTTTCCATTCTGTGGGTTGTCTTTTTATTTTGCTGATTTCCTTTGCTATGCAAAAGCTTTTTAGTTTGATGTATTCCCATTTACATATATTTTTCTTTTATTTCTCTTGTCTGGGAAAATATATTAAACAAAACATTGCTACAAGCAATGCCCAAGATTTTGCTACCAATGTTTCCGATAATTTTTTATAGTCTCGGATTTAACATTTTGAATTTATTCCTATGTGTGATATGAGAAGGTAGTCTAGTTTCATTTTTCTGTATCTGTTTAATTTTCTCACCATCATTGATTGAATAAAATATTTTTTGCCTATTTTATGTGCTTGCTTCCTCTATCAAATATTAATTGACTATAAAGCTGTGGGTTTATTTATGGGGTCTCTATTCTGTTCCAATGATCTATGTCTCTGTTTTTATGCTAGTACCATGCTGTTTTGATCACTATAGCCTTAAACTATAGTTTCATATTAGGTGGCATGATTCCTCCTAGTTTGTTCTTTCTCAGGATCACTGTGGTCATGTGAGACCTTTTGTGGTTACATATAAATTTTTGAAATATTTGCCCTAGTTCTATGAAATATATCATCAGAATCTTGATAGGAATTGCATCAAATCTATACTTTGCTTTGGAAAGTATGAACATTTTAATAATGTTAATTCTTCCTACCCATGAACATGGTATCTCATTTGTATCTTCTTCAATTTCTTTCTTCAGTGTCTCACAATTTTCCAAGTACAGGTCTTTTACATCCTTGGTTAGGTTTATTCCTAGGTATTTATTCTTTCTGCAGCAATTGTGAATGGGATTGTTTCCTTAATTTTGCTTTCTATTACTTCATTATTGGCATATAAGAACACAACTGGTTTCTGGATATTAATTTTGTATCCTACTACTTTTCTAAATTCAATAATCTGTTCTAGAAGTTTCATGGTGGAATTTAGGGTTCTCTATGTACAGTATCATGTCATCTGCAAATAAGGACAGTTTTATTTCTCCCATATGGGTGCCTCTTATTTCTTCTGCTTGTCTGATATATGTGACTAGGACTTCCAAGACTATGTTGAACAACAGATGTGCAGGTGGACATACCTGTCCTATTCCCAGTCTTAAGGAGGAATGAATGTAGTTTTTGCCCATTGAGTATGATGCTGTCAGTGGATTGTCATTTATGGCTTTTATGATGTTTAGGTGTGTTTCCTCTAATTCAGCTTTGCTGAGAGCTTTTATCATAAATTGATGCTGGTTTTAAATCAAATGTTTTCTCAACATCTATTGACATGATCATATAATTTTTATCCTTGACTTTGTTTATGTGGTGAATCACGTTTGTTGATTTGCAAATGTTGTACCAACCTTGCATTCTGGAATAAATCCCACTTGATCATGGAATATTATTTTTTTGATTCATTACTATATTCTTTGTGCTAATATTTTGTTTTGAATATTTTAGTGTCTATGTTTATCAAGGTATTGGCCTATAAGTTTCTTTTTTTGTAGTGTCTTTATCTGGTTTTGGAATTAGGATAAAGCTGGCCTCATAAAATGAGTTTGAGAGCCTTCCCTCCTCTTAAATTATGAAATAGATTAAGAAAGAGAGGTTTTATTTCTAAGAATGTTTGGTAAAATTCTCCTGTGAAGCCATCCAGTGCAGGGCTTTTGTTTTGGGGAAGATTTTTGATTACTGCTTCAATTTCACTAGATATTGTCTATTCAGATTCTCTAACTCTTCCTGATTTAGTTTTAAAAGATTGTATGTTCCCAGCAGTTTATCCATGCCATCTACATTATCCAGAAATTAAAAATCTTAAACAAGACTATGAAGGGTTGGTTAGAGAAAAAAGAAAAATGATTCTCTGACTTAGCACGTAACAAATTTTTATTACTCCTAACCATTTCAGGCACTGTTCCAAAATAATACATGGAAAAGGAACCAGGAAAAAATAATGATACAAGCTACAAGAAGAAGAAACATTTTTAAAAAGTGAGTGGTCAGTTGTACCAAAATAAAATAAGGCTTGGAAGTATCATAGGTGTAAGCATTTCAGATAGTCATTGGTGAATAGTAAATCATTTGGGAGTTAATGCTTGTAACAACTCCACTGCATTAAAGAAAGACATAATAACCTCCAGCAATACTGATATTGATATCAAATGCAGAAAAGCAGTAAAACTCAAAACTCATTTACTCATCATTAAAATGATGGCAAATGACAAATTGTACTCTACCCAAATAAACCTGAATCAACCTAATGCACTAATCTGATCAGTCATGACAACAAAGTAATGGATCCTGGAATATGTTTAAAAATACAGGTATAGTGTAGGAATAGGAAAACTGCAGGTTAACAGGGAAGAAACTTTACTTTGGGTGGTATTAAACTCTACAAAATCAGTAGATTGGGGAAAGCAGAAAACAAATTGGAAATATTTATTAAATTTCCCCTAAGTCACTAACTGCAAACAAAAGAGGAGTGAATAATTATTTAAATTATCCATTCCCAGTCCATCTCTCAAGAGTATAGTTTTTCTTTACAGAATATGAGATAAAGGGGCCCTCTTTAAGTATGCTCAGAGAACATAAGTTTGGTCAGATAAGAGGCATCTCTCTGAAAAAGATATACGATATTGCAAAAGATAAATGTAACAGCTAGATTTTAATAAACAAATGCATTTGTGGCTAATGGTAGGAGAGGTATGTGAAGCAGACAGGGTTACAGTGAAGAGAGACAGTAGGATTTAAGAAGCACACAGCATTTGGAGATTCATGCAAGCAACAGAGCCAGACAATCAAAACCTTAGATCTAATCTGTACAATTGAAAGCATGATGCAAACAAACATTGTAGAATCAAAAGTCCTACCCATATGCTTTCTGGCCTTGTGAAATGGGGCAAATGGTTTTGCTAGTTACTACCTGTAAAATAAAATAGTATTTTCCAGTCTACTCCATATTTTGTTATACTTACAAAGTGGTACTATTCCGTCTAACTCACAGGTACACGGAAGCCCAGCAGGATGAAAGTGAGGTGCCTGTCACAGAAGACTGCTTTCCTCACATCTTACCTGTTGCCTGCTGCTTCAGGAAAGGCACCTGGTAGGATCCAGGACCCACGTGATCCTCAGTGCCGCCACCTTCAGCAAATCTGAGCACTCGGGGAGCCCGATCATACATAATGGCAGGAGGGGTTGGAAGGGGGCAGCTGAAAGGGATAAAAACAACGGAGCTAGAGGAGATGTAGAGCAAAATGAAGCCGACAACAGTCTGAGTTAGGGGTTAGAATTTCCATCAGTGGAGGAGTTAGAGTGGTGGGCTGTCACCCCACTCTGCTCATGGGTGTCAGATTTACCGCAGGTAGATTTCTAGCCCAGTAGTAAATTGGAAGAGAGCTGGACCAGAGACAAGACATCCCATACAATCATCAGTTCACAAGCTGAAAGCTGTGGCGCCGCAGCCAGAAGGAAGATTTAAAGACTGGTTTTTCTGCCCCTGTGCTTCCGGCCCTGACTTCACCCTGAAAGTGTCCGGAGGAAAAGCTAGTGTTCTCTTTCGCCTCGGAGTGCGCGTACCAAGTAATGAGACTTCCCTGCTTTCTCTGCCCTGCGCTCTCTAAAGTAGGCCAACTGCTGGAGGTCCTGGACTGGTAAAAAAAAAAAAAAAAAATCTCTAGGAAAGGAGATAAAGCGGGTAGGGCTAACTTGACCGCGATGCATTTCCCGCATAAATGAATCAGGCCAACTGATTGCTAGTCTGGGAAGAGACTAGCAAAAACTGAATGAAAACGCAAAGAATTACCACGAAGTAGAGTCTTGGTTCCCAAGCTCATCCCCTACCCCTAATATACAGCTACACGCACACTCACAGAGGAAAAGTCACCTCTGACTTTATCCCATAAATAATTCAGACTGCGCTAAGAGAAACCCAGGATGTGCAGATGACAACAAATGGGGTGGGGGTGGGGAGGAGAAGCAAACCAAGTGCAGGTAACAACGGAACGCTGCTTCTGTTGTTAGGTTCCAGGCAACAACGGCGTCCGTTCCTTCTCCAAGCAAAGGCCTGGAGATAGTGCAGTTCACCCCACTAAACCAATGGGCTCTTAACCTTAAGCAGAAGGAACCCTAAACACCTTAAGGAGTCTATTTCAGAATCCACCTCAAGGTTGTCTTACAACCGTCTTTTAAGGAAGAATCATCCAGATTCTAATCATCCTCTTAAAGATTTAAACAAATCCTAGCTTCACCAGGCCTTACCTCAAAGGAGCTACAATACTTAAATTTGTTCCTGTTATAAGTTTTTGTAGTATTTATACTCTAGAACATGATTTGATACACAATCTGTGGGTCATTTATTATAGCTTAATTGTTTCATATATGCTCCCTGTACAAGGCTATATGCTTCTCAAGAATATATTTGTAATATCATTTCCCTCTACTAAATAGCTAGCTAAATAATTATTTCTTCACTTAGAAAAAGTCACTTATTGGCATATGCTGTAGGTTCAGTACCAGCTAGGTCACAGAGATACAAAGACACAAGAAAGTTCCCTATCCTTCGGTGTTCAGTATCTAATGGAAAAAGAAACATATACCATCCATCATAAGAGGCAGCAAGAGGGACATATAAAATGATGAGAAAAGAAATATTGCAGTATTTTGGAAAACCCTTCTTCCTACCAAGAAACTACATATTGATCAGTGATTCTTTCTCACTAGCTTCAATGCTTGCATCCTTACAGAAATCCTCATAGTTCTCTCAAGTTTATTGAAGCTTTATTTTCCCAAGCTGCTATACTGAGATCTAGAATACACTTACTATTAGACGTATGATACAGTGCAAAGAGAAGAATTACAGAGATTAAAGGAAAAAAATCTATTTGCTGTAGAGGGGATCCAGTGGTGCTCGTAAATTAGACTTCTGTTGGACATCATTGCCACTAACCCAAACAAGAATATAAATCCAGGAAGGAAACTTGGGTCTAGGTCATCAATTCTGTAGGCACTGGCACAGATGTTTACATCCTTCTTCTGACTCTTCTCTTCTGACTCTTTGCTGCAATAGCCTAGATTTAACAGGGATAGAATTGGGTTTGAGATTGGGGATGGACGTGGGAAAGCAAGATTTATCTGCTTTCTCTCTGATTTTATTTTTGGACAGTGAGCCTACCCTCATTTTCACAAAAGGAATTCTTTGTAGGATCTATCCTAGCTCATTTATAAACCTTACAGGGGAGTGTCTGACCTTATGACCGTTGTATCAGCTAGGAATGCAGTGTTAATCTTTCCTGCCTCCTCAAAGCATGTCTTTTCCTCAAGGACCTCACACAGCAGGGCAGCCAATCAATGTTAAGACGAGTTTTTCTGAGTCTTGTTTCCAGAGCCAATGTAAGTATCACAGCACTGAGATACAGCCTCTACACATTCCAAATTTTATAATAATTGGTCTCAGAATTCTGATTCTTAACAAAAAGTCTTTCTTCCAAAAGGTTTTGGTGTGAATATCCCCTCTATTTTCTTTATCATTGTGTCTGTTCTCTCTACCTTTCTTACCTATTATGTACCTCATATGGTTCAGTAACTAGAATGGTACACAATATTTCAGAATTGGAAATTATTTTAAAATGAAAATAGTAAATCTTTTTCATTATGGTAAAGTTAAATACCACATCTCATCATGGTAAATATTTTTTGAATTTAGAAGGAGAGTGCTACTAAAAATAATAAATAAAAATATTGACACAGAATTATAAGTACATATAAACACAAAGAATTTGGTTCAGCATTTTTTAATTCCTGTAAAACAATTTGAATGATAACATTTAATGCTATTATTAATGTGGTTACACTGTATAGCCATTTCCATGGTATTAGTAATAGATGGAAACTATGTTTTTGAACTGAGATTTGTCTACAAAATTTGGGTTCTTTTCATTTCCCCATAGTGGCTCCCACTAAAATAAAATTTTAATGAATATTTAATAAGACAAATTGATTTTTTATTGAATATGTTAGCTGTAATAAAGAATTGTACAGTCACCAATTTTTCTCTACAGCACTTTAAAAAGTAAGTAGATAACTACACACGAGATCTAGAGCATAGCCTGAGGGATAAGGATTGTCCCTTAAATAGCATGATATATCTCATAAGTTTTATAAAGATGAGTGGGTTTTGAAACTATTTTTTTCAACCTATTATGACTTACTTGTTTTCCATTGTGCTTTTTGTTTAAATAAAAATAAAGTAGTAGTAATAAATCATCTAGTGTGTATCAAAATCAACCAAATATACCTTTTCAACATTATTAAAACTCACATTGCAAAGTTATGTGCATTCAAGTTAAAATAAAAATTGATTTTTATATAATCATTTGAAGCTTACAAAGTATACTTTACATTCAGTATTTTGTTCAATATAAATTTATATCTATCTTAGAATTAATATGACTGTGAAACCACCAAATTTTATGAAATGTGGTTTTAAAAATTGTATCATATTATATATGACACCTGATTTTTTTCACTGACATTAATGAACACCTATTATGTGCTAGCACTGTGTGAAATGCTTTGCATGAATAATACAAATCATTTTTCACATAACCCATGAGGTTAATATTATTAATATTTCTATTCAGTAACACACTGAGACTTAGAGCTATTGTATTTCTTGTCCACATAGTTAATGAAAAAAGAGTTTAATTTAAAGCTAGTCAGTTTAACTCTAGAATGTGTTTTCAAATCCATCATGAGGGAAATGCTCCCAACTGTGTTCTTCTCCCACATCCAGTGATTTTTTTTCCCAATTCTTATTTGAACTTGGCTGCATTTTTATGTATTCATCTATAAAAGGACCTCTACAGGTAGTCTTTCAGGGGTGGCATGGTAGCTCACTGATGGCAGAAGGCCAGGATGCTCTAGCATGCTACTCCACAGTTTATCCATTTGGCATACTTCTTCCATTTGATCTTCAAGCTGATTTGGATCTCAACAATTAGGAAACAACTTTCCTACAATCAATCTATATAGATTAATTGGAATAATCATTTTGTACATTTTATAAATGTCTAATCACTATGTTGTACACTTAAAACTAATATAATATTACACATCATTCATAATTGAGAAATAAAGTATTATTATAGAGCTGTTTACAAGAGTCACTAAAATAGATAGACTAGACTTCCAGCCAAGATGGAGGCATAGGTAGATACACTGTGGCTCCTTGCAAAATCAAAAAAAGGACAAGGACAAATTTAAAAACAAAACAACAAAAAAAACAACCATACTGCCAGAAAATCCAACTGTAGGGAAGTCTGACAACCTCGGAGTTAAAGAAGAAACATTCAGGCACCAATAGAAGGGGCGGAGATGGGCAGCTGGACAGAGTGAACTCACTGAAAGGCAGTGGCTGGAGGACTGGGGCAGGCAAGGTGATGGCTCACAGACCAGGTGGTCCCACATTTGCATGCAGATAAACCAGGAGGAATAACTGGGGAGTGAAACAGACCACGCAACCCAGGTTTCCAGCATGGGAAATAAACCCTCAGAACCTCTGACTGAAAAAACTTGTGGGGGTTGAGGTGGCAGGGGAAACTTCCAACCTTACAGAAGAGTTCATTGGAGAGAACCACAGGGTCCTAGAAACTACACAAACCCACCCACCTGGGAATCAGCACCAAAAGAGCCCGATTTGCTTATGGATAGTGGGGGAAGTTACTGAAAGCCAGTGGAGAGCCTAGCAAGTGGCATTGTTCCCTCTTGAACTCCTCCCCCACACACAGTGCCACAACACAGCGATGTGAATTGCCCCACCCTGGTGAATACCTAAGGTTCTGCCCCTTACAATGTGACAGGTGCACTGAAACAAACAAAAAAAATGGCCCAAATGAAAGAACAGATCAAAGCTCCAGAAAAAATACAACTAAGAGGTTAGGAGATATACAACATATCAGATGCAGAGTTCACAACACAGTAAGCAGAATGCTCAGAGAAATGGTTGAGTGTGGTCGCAAAATAGAGGAAAGTGGGAAGGCTATAAAAAGTGAATTAAAGGACAATGCACAGGGAACCAGCAGTGACAGAAAGGAAACCAGGATTCAAATCAATGGTTTGGACCAGAAAAAAGAAACATTCATCCAGAACAGAATGAAAGAACAAGAATTCAAAAAAATGAGGAAA